AGACCCCCCCCCCCCTGTCGAAACCTCACAGGACAAGCCCGATGCTTGAAAACAAGGCATGTTTCTTCGCCTGTAAGGCAGAACCAGCTGATGCTTATTGCGTCACGGCAAGAATGCTAGCTTGAGTTGTTAATTGGAAACCTGGGGTCACGACCATTAAAACCCTCCCTCTATCACCCCCAGAATATAGAGCAACGGCAGCAAGATTTTCGAGAGTTGTCGCAGGGGTTGCACCTTTGTCCCTGCGTAGATGTGCTCGACGTCCAGCATGAAGGGAATGGAGGTGAACATGCGCAGGAAGGTCATCGCAGAGGATGAGGGCTGGCTGAAGAGGTCCAGGTCCTGCAGGAGGCTTGAAGTTCGCCTGAGCAAACCACAATCCCATCGCCACGACCAAAAGAGACGAGGGACACACGCGAACACAAAAGGATACAAAAAATGAAACAAGGAGGATATCACGGTAGGAGGTTGATAAAACTGAAACGAAGAAGAGATCGGGGTAGAAACTACAACGAGCATGTCACGGTAAAAGGTTGATAAAACTGAAACGAAGAAGACAATGGGGTAGCAGAATGACTTAAGGTTTGGGAAGTACTTTTCTACAACGGCAGGACTAAACGAGCGGTAGGTTGTCGACACTGTTGAGTTGAGTAAATTGGTTTTCTAGCCCTAGGCTCTTAATCGCGGACAGAGCTGGTCAACTTGTATCGTTGATAAATGCAACATAAAAAGCACACACAATGAACTGATGGATCCAAAACACAGACAAGACTCGTTGAATATGGGTAGCTCACAGTACCGTGGAAGGCCGGATACGTGGTAGCAACTAAAAGCTGAAAGAGAAGCGCCTGGCCGCCAGAACCAGCGAGCGTCGCTGACTGCTTGCCTGCTGTGGAAAAATTGAGGGTTCCGACTTCGCTATCGTAAACCTCACGACCACGCTCTAGGTGGATGAAGCCCTACCTCTTCGTTGAAACCCCTGTGAAAGGTGAAGGTTGATTCTTTAGACCGTTGATGCCGTCGAAGGAAATATATATATATATACTCCGCGTGTCCAGCGCATGTACGTGTGCTGCATTAGTTGTTCCGTTTCCTACTCACATTTTTGGATTCCATCCGTGTCCCCATGTTGCGTTTCAACTCCTATACTTAAATTAAATATTCCGTTTCGTCCTTCCATGCTGCGTTTCATACTTCCATGTTCCGTTTTATGTCCCCGCACCTCCTTTAAAACTGCGTACACCTGACACAAACGCCTGTTGGAGTGAAACTGCTGTTTGATTCTCACGGTTCGTCCCGGTAGAGGATGTAGCCAATGAAGGCGTAGAAGAACACCACGAAGGACATGAGGAAGACCACCGGCAGCATCCTGTCGATGACAGCAGCAGCAACAGCAGCAGCAGCAAGCACGCGTAGCAATATCATCATGTCAGAGGCAGCAGCAGCAGTAGCATGCGTAGCAACACCACCATCACTAGCAACAGCAGAGCAGCAGCGGCAGCAGTGACAACACCGCCAGCATGCCCAGCACCATCACCATCACCACCATCACCACAATCCGCAGCAGCAGAGGCTGAAGCAACAAAGCAAATGAAGTATTCACCAACGTCACGTTCAAAGTTCAAGAAATCATCACACACTCCAATTTTTTCTGAAGGGGGATTCGAGAAGACACTTTACAAGAAGGAGAGCAGAGCAATCCACCCGATCCCTGTCATCGACAACGGCAGCAACAGGCAACAGCAAGGCCGGCAGAAACGCCACCACCACAACGACTCCCACAAAAAAAAAAACACAACCACAACAAAAAAAAAACAAGTCGGCTCCCGTCACCAGCCGCCCGGTTCTCCTTCAACTTTTGGGACACCACCCCATTCACACAACGCTTCCATGCACCGCAACCACCGTTGACTCCAAACTCTTACATACCTGGGAAGAGCCCTTACCACCCCATTCACACTACGCTTCCATGAACCGGGCCGCCCGTTGACGCCACGCTCCTGCGCCCTCATTACCTCCCCCTCACACACAGAACGCATACATGTGTCGCCCCCCCCGTTATCTTTTGGCGGTAACCATGATGGCGGTCGAGTAGATCATGTTGTGCGGGGTGGAGAACCCTCACTCCGCGCAAGGGGGATGATCGCACCACGTTGTGTTAAAATGGTCAAGCACCCTCGAGGCAGTTACACAGTGCTTACAAATGTCTCTGGAAGTGACAGCATCAGTTAATAAATTAAGTCATACGCAGCTGTCATCCGTACGCAACGAAGTAAGCACAAGATGCCGAACACCCTTAGCAGCATGCAGCGCACCCTTCATGCGACTCGCCGAATATCTCACGGCACTTCGCGCTTGGTGATGTGAGAGCCTGGCCCGGTGAGAACCCGGCGTGCTCCGTCCCGGCTTTGTAGGGATGCGAGGTCAATGGTCTAACGACTACGGCATGCACGACTATGAGTACACCCCTCCCCGTTGACGCCAAGCTCTCACCTAGGAAGCACCCTTATCATACACACAATACTCTTACATGTAACGGACCCCCCGTGAACTTCAAACTCTTCATACCTAGGAAGAACCCTCGACGCCAAGCCCCTACACCCTCATCACCTCCCTCGCCACAAAACGCGCGTTCCATTTATCGGGAGCCATTGACGCCAAGCTCGCACATACCTGGGCAGAACCCTGATCACTCCACCGACGAAGTGCTTGAGGTATGTCCGTCGGCTGATGAAGAGAAACGGCAGTGTGACGCGGCTCCATCTTCACACAACAGGCGACAAACGGGCGCAAGCATGTACCAAGAGCCATGGTAGGGGAAACAGCTGGCAGTCAGTGTCTTGAGAACCCCGACTCTCTTCGGTTGTTCCGAACCTGCCTGCAGCTACGCAGTTTCTGTTGAGAATTCAACTCCCTCTCTCTTGCTTCAAACTCGCGGCTGCAACACAAGACATCTCCTGTTGTACAGTGAAAGTACGCGCGAGTGTGTTGGTTCGTTGACACCGGCGATAGTGGTGTCCGCCGTACGCGGCAGAGAGAAAGACCGTTCCCGTGAGAAATATGAAAACGGGCAACCGTGGCCGTGCCCGGTCATTTGAATGGTACGGGAAGGAAGAGAGCCGCGTAGACACAAACGGAACGCCGACAGCCTCGGACAGCTGTTGCCGTCGTCGTTCTCTTGCCTTCACACGATGCAACCACTGATGTTGTTCTCATTGAAAACCCAACCCCACGAATTACTGTTGGACGAGAGACAGAGAGAGAGAGAGAGCCTGTAGAAGGCCCAACCAACGTTCACGCATTCGCTAAACGACTGCAGAGCAACAAGCCGTTGGATAGTAAGTTGGTTGTCACAGGGGTTCACTCCAAACAACCACTCGCTTTCTTGTAGATAGCTCACCAACGTAACTTTCTTTGGAAGGGTCGGCCTGACTGACCGAAACCGTAAGGACAATGCCGCCGTCACCCGCACACACGCGCGCGGGCACGCCGCAATCTACCATTCACCAGTTTGGGGGGGAAAACACTAAAAATCATATATTAGAGAAACAATTACATGCTTCGTTAAGTCTAAGGCACAACTAATACTTGGAAGTACCTGTGCCACGTGATTTTGAAGGCGTAGTGTGCGAAGATGTTGGTGAGGAGACCGAAGGCCAAGAGAGCCACCATGCACGTCCGCGCCAGCTGCCACGGGGGAAGCCTGGCAAGAGACGAATGCCACGACGACGCCTTGGCACCCTCACCCTTCGACACGCCGATATCCCTGTCCCCGTCCCTGTCGCTTCCGCCGCCTCTGTGCGAGCGCTTGTGCACGTGGTTGCTATTGCCAAGTCCGGCGAGATGGGGAGAGAGAGATAGAGAGAGAGATAGAGAGAGAGAGGGAGAGAGAGGGAGAGAGAGAGAGAGAGAGAGAGGGAGAGAAAGACAGGCAGGCAGAGAACGATAGGAGGAAGAGAACACAAGAACACGTGGTTGACGCCGTGATGTGTCCAGCTGCACGATCTCAAACTTGAGGTATTCATCCTTATCTCCTCTCTTGTCTCCCTCGCCACTCGCGGGCGTCACCATGGCGGCAATGACAACAAAAACACCTACCCCCACCCACCCCCGGCTTCCCAGGACGATAAAACCTCTCCGCCCGTTCCTCTACGACAGGGCGGGATGTCAGTAGAGACATGCAATGCATGCAACGAAGGGCATCTCCCGGAGAGTCGACAGTCCTGCGGTCCCGCTTTAGCATGCTCCGTGGCGTGGAGAAACACAAGGTCGGAGGAAACTCGGTTGCCTTCAGTGATGACGACTGCGGCACTTTCAAGGAAACAATTGCCGCAGGCATTCTACAACTTTAACAATCATACCGCGGAAATGTCGGATAATCTCGGCTGCCTTTGGTCATTATGACTACGGTATGCCTGAGAAATAACACTCCAGGCATTCAACGACTAAAAAAACATGTCGCGGGAAATTCGGGAGGCTCTTTCTCGATTCCCCTGGGTTGGATTCCAAAAGGGGACGGCATTTCCGTGCCTCTGAGTCAGCGCTGTGCCAGGCACTGCAGCACCACAAAGTACAGGCATCCAGACTGAGCTAGTGCCTTTTCAGTATCCGAGACAAAACATTCGTTTGAAAGACACTGTGTCAAACCTACCTGGCGAGCGCGACTTTGTACAGGTCGTACACGTAGAGGAGACACAGCAAGCACTCCAGCCACATCGATCCCAGCAAGGTCGGCCGCCACCCTGCAACTCACGGCATCCACCACCATTCAGTCGTAAGTGCGTACCACCACATTGTTGCCAGGGAAAGCGACGCAGGAGGGAGGGGAGCGAGAACAGCCGTGTTTTGGTTGAGCACGCGTCATTTTCAGGCTCTCGGGCAAACGACGAAGAAGGAGGACAGGCGAGAATAGCAGTGTTCTGGTTGTTCACCCGTCATTACCTAGCCCTCTTGCGATGAAGTGTACCGTAAATGACACAATATAAGAAACCCCGGTGGTAACATTTTGGGGTT